CATACATACACACATACATACATACATACATACATACATACATACATACATACATACATACATATAATGCTTGACTCGAATTCATTCAACTGCAGATTTCTATTTTCCAAATCATGCCTAATTTATACTAATTAGGCTTCGTCACAATCTGGTGTTCCACCGTTTATACCTCAAAACCGATATGGGACTACTGCATTTCTTTATTTTCCCCTTCACATCGTAACGATTAACTATGCATAATCTGCTATTTTCATTTCAGTGGACCGAAATATTCCTTTTCAATAACTTCCTCTCCCTCTCTACTATATCATATAGTATTTTCATAAATTTGCAATCTTTCTTAATTGCTATTGGCACTTATTTGATGCTCCCCATCTACTATTACTCCAAAAAATATTCACTACTATATGGATAACACTAAGCCATATTTTCACCGTCGAACAACCATTATCGAGCCCTTTGCCATGCAGCGATCGAATGGCTTGATGGCCAGAAATGTGTCTCCGAGAACTTTTTTTAGAAATTTTCATGAAAAGTTTGGGAGTCATAAGAGCAAAAAATTTCAGGTTTTAGAAATTTGAGAAATTTTTTGGCTAAGATTTTCTTCATTAAAAGCATGTGAGATGAAAAGGCAAAGCAACTGTTACTACTGCTGCTGCATCTAAGAGATCAAAAAAGCACTGTAGCGAGTAGGATAAGGAGCAACGCTATGATTTGGACAAGCGTTGCACACGCACCTCGCCTTCATGATCTAGCGAAAAATGTGGGAACACTGCGTGAAGCCATACAATTCAGGTATCACGCATTTCCAGTTCGCATCAGTTAATCCTTTGGCTTTTCCTAGGAGGATTTTTGGTGTTCGTAAAAAATCAGACGGAAGTTGGGAGAGATTTAAAAACGTAATCCATGGAAATCCTCGTTCTCACGTATTTCATGATTAGCACCACAGTATGCAAGAAACTCACGTTCAGCCCAATGCTTAGGATGTATCATTATCAGAAAAAAAGCCAAATGAAAAATTTAACCAATCAACAAATGACCACATGTTCATTTGCTGGATAATGCAAGAGTTATACGTATATGACTTAATGAACCGAAACGTCTTATCTTACACTCTTACCTTCCCTACTGTTCCTTGATGCTGTAATTTATTGCTCCTTGCCATCTAGGCTTTCAAGGTCAACCTGGTTGCTACAACCGGTTTGGAGGAAATGGACCAACAGTAAAAACAAGTTTTTGGAGATCGGCTAACGAACTCAGTTTGATTTAAATACTTCCGCAAATTCTCAGAGGGCAAGGGAATTTCTACGTGGCGTGATCGCAATACTTGGCGATAGGGTGATGATACTGGACATACATTTTTGAAAGTCCAATTTGCTAAAAGCTTGCTAAAAAGCTTCTGTAAAGAGAACCACTGAGTTGGTAATCCCTTCAGGAGAGGAAAGTTTGGGATCGTCAAAGGCAGGCTACCGAGCAATGCAGCACTGTTTCAAACAAAAAATGAAATGAAAACCGGTGAAAATGGCATGACATTTGGTTAAATCGTTACTGAATCTGTGTTGAACTAGTAGCCGCTTCAAGCAGATATTCTTGCGGATGGGATGAATCTTCAAGAATTCACCTGATGGCTAAGATCCTGATTTCTGCACTGCGCTTCTACAAGTTCAAGTTTCGTCTGTGCAAGACTGAGTTCAAGCTGTCGAACACGCTGTTCACTTTCTTCCAGCTTGTCCATTAGCTCGACCACACGAAGGCCACAGCCATTTTCCTCTTTCACCGGCGAATACTGCTGAAATTCCGAAAGATTTAGCAAGGCCCTTCTTCCTGAAAGCCCTTGCCCCAAATTAACAAAAAATTCCAACCTTTTTCGAGGGACTTCCATTACATTCGTATTGTGCAAACTCAGCCAATGTAGCGGAGCACTGCTCACATTGGGATACCATTGCCTGAAAAAGAGACCTGTGTTTCATCATGTCAATCCTTTTTTCAAATATTTGGTTCTTTAAGCCTGAAAAAGCAACCAGTCACATAGTTCAAGACTGTGGCCGTTCCACATTTTTCATGTTTCGGACCGCTCGCTCGTCCCGGAAATTACGATTCGGCCTACCAACGGCCGCAAATTACCGAAACGTCTTAACTCTCTCGTTCTTATTTCTCCTGCACCAACAATATTCCTACCTCTTGCATTACATAGTTCATTCTGTTCTTGCCTTCTTTTCAACGTTCTTCATATTACTTTCATAATCATGCGATAATCAGATTAACAATCTTATCCCACCCTTCGTTTTAGCTTTCTGACTCTGGCTGTTCCACATTTTGATTTCTTTGGACCGTCCATTTCTTTTAAGGTTACGATACGGCCGCAATTTATCATTCACCCCGGCTATAAATTAACAGCTATCCCAAGGAAGTAGATTCCTCTCACGCAGAACATCAGCAAAAATTATTCAACCCACTGAGATGCGTTTCTTCTGCGTTTGGTAGTTCTCTTGCTGCTTATCGAGCCGATAACTGAGATCGGAGCATATCTGCTTATAATTGAGGATGATACTCTGTGACCTCATCGCCTCTGATTCTAGTCGCTGTACTTCTCTCCGGCACATCTCCTTCACCTGCAACCAAATGCACGGATAAAACGGCGTGACAGAACTAAGTACGGCCCATGAGAACATTTCAATAACATCATATTAACATGAGATAACCACAGCTGGTGCGAGCAGGCTGCAGCACATTTCAAATGAAGTGCTCCGAGTTAGAACTGGCGTGAAAGACATTACTGAAACAATGTACGCCAGCAAGAAGAGATGGACTGGTCATGTGGCCGGGATGACCGATA